TGAGCCGACTGACTGATTATATTTTCTTCCAACCCTCAGGAAAGAGGGTTTGTGACTGGGTTAGATATCCTTCCACTGCTTGCAACAGCAGCTTTGATGCCAAAAAAACATACGCAAATTTTGAACGGCGTCTAGCCGAAAACATCCTTTAACTCAGTGGTTCTCAAACTAGGGGGCAGGGGGGCGTAGAGCCACTTCAGGGGCGTCGTGGATGTTGAGCGGACCTTAAGTTGCATGAATACGATTCATGTGGTGACATAAACAAACACAAGCTATCAAGGCTATTTTGCTAATCTGAGTTTTTCAGATGCCTGTATTGTTAATGATTGATCCGCTATTGCTGGGGTGGGGGGCATGATGTTTCTGATGGGGGGTGAAGTTTGAGAACCACTGCTTTAACTACATTACTTTTTAAATTTAAGTGATTAAGAATTTGGTTGGTTGAGGAAGGCCTCAGCCAGAAACTCTGACCAACAGGGATGTAATGGTGTGCTTACAGACTAGCTTGATTTATTTGATGCAAAGAAATTATTCAATAAAATGGAAACTCATTTTTTGACCAAGTGGAGCCTTCATTTTGTTCTTTTAGCTTTCAGCACCACGGATAGACCGGCATTCAAATTATTAGAATAAGTTTTGTTCAGCATGCTAACTAAGTTGTGAAATCTGACGGTTGCCTATTGTTAAGTGATATTACTCGGTACATTGTCACGGCGGATGTGCGGATTCACTTCAAAAGAAATGTGAAAAAACCAACGCATTCTCATCTCAGTGCTTTCAGATAGCGTGACAAAGCGTAATGATTTGACACCCTTCAGCATCCGTATGAAACGTCCCCGTTTGCAGCAACACAAAGGAGGCTAACTGGCTAACGCTGCGCACGGCCGATGTGCTTGCAGGTGGGGTTAGCCGGTCGATAAAGTCAGTGACTTAGGTTTAGGCAGTAACATTTCTGATGGTTATGGTAAGTGTAGGGGGCATCGGGGGGCTGTCAACACCTTTAACGTGAACGTAGCTAGCCATCTAGCTAGCTTCTGGTCAGTACGGGACGCCCCAGAGCTTCTCATACAGACTCATAGAGACGTTCTGAAAGCGTTGGTATTGGACGCCCTGAGATGGGAACCAGCTGAAAAAACCACACCCGACATGATGACACTTTATATTAAGATCTCTACTTCTTGTGTTTTTTTATTGCCTGTCATTCAACTTTTTAAAAGATTTTAAGAAATCTGATAAACGTGCATTCTAGGCAATTCCTTAAATCTTTATAGTGACGTCCATCAAGGAAACCTATAATCTTTGTTGACCATATGGACTTGCTGTTAAGAGTGAGATAATAAACCACTGCCTTAATATAAAGTGTCACCGAATATTTATTGATTAACAGGTTGGCCAAAATGAAATGAATTATGTAATACACCATCTCAGAAGCTTCTGGATATGTTTACTCCTGAGGTGTCTTCAGATTTCATACGCTATCTCTGCTTTACTTTGCCATGCCATGGCGACTCTGAGCATCAAAACCAAACTTTCAGATTGTTTAAAGAAAGTTATGGGAACTTTTTTTCCCCGAATGTTCTCCGACAGGCTAATTCACTTCTTGAAAAAACGCTGATGTTTGACAGGTAACAAGAGAACATTTGTTAGGTAAGCTAAATGTTACTACCATCTGTGGTGTCGAATCCAAAATGCTTCTTCACACATGGTTTGGTGTAATAATTCATTCAGCTAGTTTTCTCCATTTAGCATTTTACTACCTTACAAAACATAAAGCACAGCCAAGTTTTAAAGTTGGACAGATAATTTCCCGCATTCAAATGATTTTTTTTCTCCATTGAGATCGAAAATCTCTTTTGTTAGTACACTTACATGCAGTACACTGTGTAATATGTACTTCATTGCGTACGTTTTGTCAGGGTAGTGTCAAACACTGTGGTTGTGCACTAATCAATCGATCAAAAAATTTCTTCTTCTTCTTCTATTTAAAGGTCGAATTGTAGCCGGACGGATCATTATTGCCATCATTTGACCGCCATTGTCACTTATCTGCCAGCTTGTTTGCTCTCTTGACTTCAAGTCAGTTTTATTAAAAAGGAATTAAAACAAACTTTACTTTTTGCAATCACAGCTGCTGCAGCCTACCATTTTCACAAGTTTGAAAAGACATTGGTAGTCACTTCCCCTCTGCTACGTAGCCAAGATGGCGACTGTTGAGGGTGAGAAGTGCAGCGTGCTACACAGATCCTTATGACCGCTATAAGTGCGTTGCATTTTGCCATACTTCTCAGTTATGCTCTTAAAATAGTAAGTGTAAGTATGGAAGGGTGCAAATTAAGACTGGCCAAGGTAGCAGAAGTGGCAGCTAACAAGTGAGCTCACTAGCCAGTGCTAGCTCTATGGCTAATGACGATGAAGAAATGTGTGATAACATGTTATGACGTATGGTAGAAGTAATGCATCAGTAACTGTGATGGGGTTGGGGGGCTTTCAGGGAGGAACGAGCAGGAAACATCTAGTTGTTATGCTACCTGTACATGTTAGCTTTCCAGTAGTAGTACAGTTAGCTAACTGGCTAAACTATACTAACAGATGCATTTCACAGCAGAATGTGAAAAACATCCTGACATGCTAATGTGCTTCAAGATTTTGAAGGGAACAAGAGCATCTTTGACTAGTAGCAGTGTGGCATATGCATTTACTGTTTACTGTATTTTTCAGCTGACATTTTGTTTAGAGGCTGCTCGCCACCGGACGGGGAAAAGTTTAGTTACATCTATTACTGCTGCTGATAATTTTTGCTGTTTGGGTTCCTCTTTTCTGCACTGCTTTATTTGTTGAGGTGATTCTGAAAATAAAGTGGCTAGCTGTGTATAGCGTAGCATCCCAGCATGACTTTGTAAAGCAAAAACTTCCAGTTGCCAAAAGTTTTTCGAATGTCGTGCAAAAGACATTTTCAGCAAGAGTTAACAGATTATATTGTCCACTGAAATTTAATAACTTATGTTATAGTCTTATTAAGTAAATAGTTGTATGCAGCGGCCTTGATGATTTGATGTATTTGATTGAATCTCGTAGCAGCTTCTTCGTTGTCTGACCACTTGCATTTAACAGAACCATTTATACTGGATAAAAAAATACTACATTTTTAGTTTTGACTGAAATGATAAAATCAGAATCATTATTTTAAGTTTCATGACTATTTTCTTTAACTTACATGACAGCTCTCACATAATTGACCCTTCGCTAAGCCACGCCCCGAATATGCAGCTGGCCAATCACAGCACAGTATAGGTTTTGCTCTAACTGAGCGCCGACACTTTCATGGCTGCGCTTTGTTCACTCTAATGCAAAAAGAGTCGTTTTCTAGCAAACGCTGTTCCTGTTACAGCAGCTACCCAGAGAAGTACGATTTATTCTCTTTCCTCTTTCCTAAAACAAATTCCGAAAAATGTCGGCTGTGGCTTTTTCTTAATGTAATGTTAGTTGGCTAATGCTAACGTTACCTAACTTACTACTGAAACTAACGCTAACGTTTGAGCAAAACACTTAACCCATCGTTGCTCCAGAGGCGTACGAACTCTGACATATATAGTAATTGTAAGTTGCTTTGGATAAAAGCGTCAGCTAAAAGAATAAATGTACTGTATATAACCCTACTGACTAAATCTAGTTTTACTCATAAATTTGAGTTTTAATTTGTACATTTACCACTTTTATCTCAGAGAATTTCCAAGGTTTTTAGTCGTAAATTTGTGAGGTTATTTTACTTATAAATTTGAGATTAAATGTGAGTTTTACCTCAGATATACTTTATCTTCTAAATATACCACTTTAATCTCAAAGAATATATAAGTTTTACTTGTAAATTTGCCACTTAGAACTCTTTTTGATAAAAAATTTGAGTTTTTGACTCAGAAATTTACCACATTATTCTCAGACTATCAAGAGATTTTATTTTGTAAATTTGCAAGTTTTTTAAATGTAAATTAGTTTTTTTACTCGTAAATTTGTTAAGTTTTATTCTGTAAATTTACCACTTTTAAGAATATAGAATAACCACTTTACTATTAGACTATCAGCGATTTTATTTTGTAAATCTGAGTTTTTTTACTTGTAAATTTACAAGAATTTGTGCATATACTGATACATTTATAAATATTTATTCTTACATTTCTGGGCTTTTTACTATAAATTTGTAATTGTTTCAAATTTTTTACATTTGTAAATTAATGGCTACCACTTTTTATAAATGAGTTTATTTTACACATTGTTGAAAAAAAGTTTTTGAATATCAATATTTTGTAAATTTGTGTTTTTTAATCGTAAATAATTTTTTTACTATGAAATACGTTACTTTTATCTCGTAAATTTACCACTCTAATCTCAGAATTTGTACATTAGTTTTTACTCGAATTAAATTTTTTTGCTTTATCTTGTTAATTTGCCACTTTAATTGCAGAGAACATCACATTCAGTCAGTTCTTAACTCGTAAAATTGAGTTTTATCGCGTAAATTTAAACTTTAATCTCAGAATTGTTTTTTTACATAAATTTGAGATTTTTTACTCCTAAATTTACCGCTTTAATCTCAGAATGTCAGGTTTTTTAATTGTAAATTTTTAAAAAACTTTTTTAATTTATTTTAAGCACTGCTTAATTGTTGGAGATTCTGGTGTTGAATGTCATGGTTTGCTCAACACAATTTACGCAAAGGTTGACAGATTATGATACTATACTATATGATCCACTGAAATTTTCTATCTTTATACTATAGTTTTATTCACTGCAGTGATTTGTTTACAACATACATCACTGATTCAGTATAATTAACATTGGTTATGGTCATATTAGTAATAAAAGCAGAACAGGTATGTCACCATATTAATCCAGTAATTGTTAACGAGAGTTATTTTTTTTGAAAAGCCACACAAACCTTGTCTGGGGCATGAAGAAACTCTCAACCTTATTGGCTGATCTGACCCTTTTGATGTACTGTCAAATAACCTCAAATCACACGTTTAATTTAACTTGTGTACATTACATTTCACAATTGTATAACTTCTCCTCTTGTTTACATCATTTACATCATCTACAGTTTATCACAATGTTGATTTCTGGTGGTTGGCACTTTAATTAGACCTTCATCAGTTCTTAAAACATCCCGTAAGGTGTTGAAGAGTGGTCATCATCATGATCATCATCAGCGACTGATTGATGACGATTTTCTACGAAGTTTCTACTTTGCTGTGAGTCTCTGTTGAATGTTTTTGTATCGCAGCAGCTCCTGGTCTGAAACAGACGGCTTGAAGTTTTCTAATGCTGCCGAGAAATCCTCAACGGAGACGAGTACAGGCGAGTCCTCCGAGTCCAGACCTGAGAGAAAGACCGATAAAGTGTGAATGTAGACAGACGAGCCTCGACTGCACATCTGGGCTGAACCAGGTCCACTTATTTTCAATTTACTTGTAAATTTTTTAGTTTTATCCTGTTAATTTACCACTTTACTCTCAGAAAATATAAGAGTTTTTATTTAAAATTGTGTGCTTTAATCCCAGAATATCAGAGATTTTATTTTGTAAATTTGTGAATTTTTTACTTGTAAATTCACCACTCTAACGTCAGAATATAATTTTTTACTCGTAAATTCACCACTCTAACCTCAGAATATAATTTTTTACTCGTAAATTTACCACTCTTACGTCAGAATATAATTTTCTACTCGTAAATTTACCACTCTTACGTCAGAATATAATTTTCTACTCGTAAATTTACCACTCTAACGTCAGAATATAATTTTTTACTCATAAATTTACCACTCTAACCTCAGAATATAATTTTTTTACTGGTAAATTTACCACTCTAACCTCAGAATATAATTTTTTTACTGGTAAATTCACCACTCTAACCTCAGAATATAATTTTTCACTCGTAAATTTACCACTCTAACCTCAGAATATAATTTTTTACTCGTAAATTTACCACTCTAACATCAGAATATAATTTTTTACTCGTAAATTTACCACTCTAACATCAGAATATAATTTTTTACTCGTAAATTCACCACTCTAAACTCAGAATATAATTTTTTACTCGTAAATTCACCACTCTAACGTCAGAATATAATTTTTTACTTGTAAACTTACCACTGTAATTTTTTTCTTGTAAATCTTGCAGGTCCACTTTTTACCATCACATCTTTAACCCCACAAATGTTTTCTGTTTCTAGGGTAAAAAACAGCTGTTTTAAAGGGTTTTTTTTCCAACAATGTTGCCGTGTTCACAAATCTTATTATTTCTTATAGAAACGACGGACGTTCGGTTACCACCAATAAAACACTGACCCAAATCTTAAACAAATAACACATTGTGTATGTAAATATTACACCCCGTTTCTTTATCTCTCCTAAATTAAAAAACATATGACATTAAATAAGGTAAGTCGAGTCAGTTTAGAGACTTTGCTACAATAAATTACTTAAGAAATCATCAAGTTAAACTAATGTCATGATTTACTATAATTATGCAACAAGTGTTTTTATCTCTGTGGATTAAAGAATCTGGAAACTGTCCACAGAATAATCTCATGTATGTGCATCATCTTTGTGGCGTCCGGTCTGATAAAAGCTGACAACACGAAGAGAAGTGACGGCTGAAGATTTAATATGCATTTTCTTATAACATTACTGACGCTAATTATTATTATTATGTCAAGTAGGTGATGACTAATAAAGCAGAATGTTTCAAAAACATTAACTGTGACACGACAGACGTCAACCAAGATCAAATACAAAGTCTAAAAAAGGCCTCATAGATTTAAACCATTATATCTGGCACTTTGATTTAACGGTTTGGTGAGTTTATGAGCGAGTGCGCTGTGTAATAGAGGCACTGTTGGAGCTCTACAGTCGTTTGAACCCTGTTCACCTGTTGCAACAACAAAAATAAGAAGTGTGATCGTCTCTGTAGTTTTTGTGGTTGAAAATTTCAACTTTAAATCCGCTTCTTTTTTGTGTTTTCTCACCGTCGTCAATGAGGGCGATCTTCCTCTTGATGGCGGCCGTCATGGCGTCCGAACAGAGAGCGTACAGGTCGGCGCCGGTCATGTGAGCGGGGCAACGATCCACCACATCATGCAGGTCCACAGCAGAGTCCAGCTGGAACCTGGAGGGATTGAAGGCATCCAGTTTCAGACACAACACCATTAAGACTAATCACACGTGGAGCCCAGTTATTATGTTACTTTTCATTCATTATCTTTGGTCCCAGGATTCAGATCTTGGGTGCATAAATTCTTTTTTAAAAAAACCGAATCATCTCTCAGGACTTCATGAAGTTTTTTTCCTGATCCAGACCAACTGTTCGTGTGCTGTGGTCCGGTAGAGACCGCGCTGTTCTTACTTTCTGAGGATGGCCTGCAGAACCTGCAGCTGAGAGACCCGGTCCTCGTTGATCCCAACATAGACCAGCTTATCAAACCTGGAGGGGACACGAGAGACGCCGACATCATGCGTTTTATTTTAAGACAAAAACCTGACCGGTGTTTATAATGCACGAGTTTCCAGACTTTCAAGGTCAAATTTGATTCAATATGACGGATGATAGATGGGATGCAGTCGGCGTTGCAGTCTTTATATAGTTCTGCTATTTTTAATTTGAACTGCAAGTCTGCATTTCTTATTTTACTCATCTGTACATTTTTAACAATTCTTCATTCTATCTAGTTCAATTTCTGCTTGTTGAATTCTGATGTACAGTAAATGGAAACGAGCAGAAAGAATAAAAGATATCTAAAGACAAGTTGAGCTTCAGGTGAGTCTGAGTCGACAGCGTCACAGCAGACACAGGTGTGTGACCTCTGACCTGCCGGGCCTCAGCAGCGATTGGTCCAGCAGGTCGGGACGGTTTGTGGCTCCGATCACAAAAACGCCGACGGACGAGTGCAGAGTGTCGAGCTCGGCCAGCAGCTGGGACACGACTCTGCACAGGGACATTCAATCAAACTTTATTGAAACACGTTGCAGGGGGCTTCACAATAAAAGACAAAGAAAATACAAAAAGCAACAAAAACACAAGATAATGTTCCATAAAAGACTAATTAAAGTAAATAAAGTAATTAAGATATAAACTACTAAATGATGTGGAAAGCGCGTCATGCAGAGAGTGAGCCGGTAAACACTCACCTGTCCATCACCCCTCCAGAGTCTCCAGTGCGCCCCCTGCTGGGAGCCAGAGAGTCCAGCTCATCGAAGAAGACGACGCAGGGAGCTGCCGAGCGCGCTCTGCAGAACACTGAACACAGCATCAGTCTACAGTCTCACAAACATCTGGTCAATCAAGTCTCTGTGACCATCACAGGTCGTAAAGCGCCGAGCGCTTCGCTCAACTGAGATTTTATTTGCAGACAATACAAGTTGTCTCAAGATAAATAAACTCTCACTCACAAACTAATTAAATTTAATTTGGGCCCAACTCAGTAAACACTTATATTAAATTTATATTGTGTTGTACGTTTAATTGGTTTTTATTGTTTGTTGTGACGTCCTGCTGGGGACTAGGGATCCAACGATTACAGATTTTGTTGGTCAGTAAAAATAATCACGGTTTCACGATTGTTACGCATTAATTAATTTAATAACACTAGTAATGATTATTAATGTAAGAGGAATATTAACTTAATTTATCTCCCAGGGGAAATTATATTAAAGGAGGGGAATAAACTGAATTGCTGTCATCAGCATCACACGTATGTTTTAGTGAAAATGAGAACGTCTCTCTTGCGGTGTTAATAACTGAAATGCAGTTAACTGGAAGTCTTCAGTCCTGAACGTTTATAAGCTCCTGATGTTTTGTTAGTGTTTTACACCAACACAGACAGGAGGAGGCGACAGCTCGATTTAACGTTAAATGTTCAGTGACTGAAGGTCTGCAGTCCATAAAAACTTAAAACCATAAAAGCTCGCCGTGCGCTGAGCTCGCCGTGCGCTGCTTAACGCAGCAACAAACCGCCCGAGCGCGGCACAAGCTATTGAAAATAACGGGCCTCATAGCGCAGCGGTGCTGTCGTCTGAAAGGCAACACCTGCTTTGTTTGTTTACGCTGCACCGGAAGTTCGACTCTCACCTCGACTGTACGCTATTAAACTCCGTTATTATGTATGACCTTTACTTGGGCGCCGCGTGCAAAGCTGGGCGCTGCATCAAGTTTAATGCAGGTATTCGCTCCTTTAGCAGGAACCTTTTAACAGCAAGCTTTTAACTGTGATGTTTTAAAGCAAGATTAATAGTGAAATCCTGTAATCGCTGCGTCCCTGCCGGGGACAAGAGATGGGAAATAGACTTTGGGCTAATTCTGGCATATTTACATTGCTGAAACAACATATTACTAAAAACAATGCACTTCGTGAAAAGTTGGTGCATGAAGCTGAACTACAGTAAAGAAGGAAACAGATTTTTATTTTGAAAGTCTTCAAGCCAGCCATAAACTCCTGTTACATTCTGAGGCTTTTATT